CTCTCCTTCCTGAGCCCCCGTGGGAGCCTAGCGGCTCTGACACAGAGCTTGGTCTCAGCCATGTCCGAGGAGCTACCAGCGAGCCCAAAAGAGGTGCAGGAAAGCACTGGCAGCGGGGAGAAAGCACCGCAGAAGGCAGTTCCGTAAAGCCTGCTTCCATAGGAAATTCCTTGGTTTGAGGCCGGCGAAGGTAAATGAAGGAATGGAGAAACAGCTGGTGGCAGCACAGGGCTGTCCCAGCCCCGTGGTGACAGGCAGGCCGCCTGCACGGCAAGACTTGGCGTGCGACCTCTCCAAGCGGCTGAGTATCTGCCAGGAGCCCCCGGCCCCTGCGGCGCAGGGCTCTGCAGACCCTTCCCGCCTGCCCCGTTCCTGCAATGTTATCCCTGTGCTCTCCTGGCACAGTGTGTGGGGATTAATTCTGGATCCACCTCAGCAAAGGCAGGAAGACTCGGGGACATTCCTAGGATCGTGGTAACAAGAATCAAGGTGTCTCTCCTGGTCGCAGGGTCCTGCAGGGCCCTCTTTGGCATTGCCAGCTCCAGTCCCATGCGACTGCTGAGAGCAGAAGCTCCTGCTGACTTGGGCCTTAGAGCAGGTGGGCTCCACGTCCCCTTTGCTTCTCAGCAGCGCTCGTGGATGTTGGAAACAATTTCTGTTCCGAGTCTACCTGTGAACGTCCACTTCTACTACAGCAATAATCAAAACTTAAATCACTTAAATTTAGCTCTATTATTTAACATCTCAAGCTTGTGCTCAGTCCTTTTGGCCAGTCTGTCCTTGGTGTTGTAGAAAGCAGCATCCTCATCCGCTGTGGACACACACTTATATCCCCTTGATGAGATCAGCTTGGATGTTCAGTCACAGCCCAATTTCTCTCCGTCCATGCCCCTCTTGTGTGGCAAAATCCATTCCTATCACAGGGTTAGGTTGCATTTAAATTTGCACAAAGCAGTGTTTATTATAAAGTTCCCTCTCATAGGGAAGACTATTTATTTCTCATAATCCTTCCAGTCTCTGCCTGGTCCCCTGACTGGTTTGTCACTCTGGAGGTGGCCACTGCTGCTGATCACAGAACTCCCTCTCTGGAGCTTTTCTTGCAGGTAGCAGGTTCTGGGGCCCGTGGTGCCTCCCGCAGCCTCCGTCCTCGTCCTGCAGGATGCGAGTGCTGCGATGGGATGTCGCTGTTCTAGTAAAAAAAGATGTTCCTGATGACAGGCACGATCACGATTTTATACTGTAGTCAGGGAAAGAATCCTGTGTGCACCGTGATGTGGGTGAAACACAGAGAACTGAAGTTATCAGTATTAAGAGATGTATTTGTTAGTGTACTTCAGTGTCTGTCTCCTGTTGGCGTGACCGAGAGGAGTTGGCACCCACGAGATGGGGATGCGAGAGCACTTGCTTTCATCTGCCTGGGGGCCAACACAGGCTGCTGCTGGAAGCTTTTTAGCTTTTTTGATAAACATGACAGCTATTTTTTTCTTTATTGAAAATGAGGGGGGTTCTTGGATCCTGCAGCCTCAATGGAACGCTGTTTCTTTTTCAAGGTTTGTCCCAGTTGCAGTGAAATGCTTTTTTTTTTTTTTTTTTTGTGCCTTTCTCCTTGGTACGATTCTTCTGGTTTCCAGAGCAGCCGCTGTGTTTGCTCTGTCCTTCCTTTCTGTAGTGCTCTGTCCCCATGGCTGTATCCTCCCCTGCTCCTGTAACTTGGTGTCTCTCCCTCCGTCGTGGTCTGGCCTGACCTGCGTTTATGCCCTGCCACATCTTGAGTTCTGCTCCATGCACCTGAGGTACTGTCTTTCTCAATTTGGAATTAATAATTAATATAAAAAGCTTGAAAAAAAAATGAATTTTGTTACATAGTGTAATAACTGTTTGTAGATACTGTTCTGAGATGTAGGAATCTATTGGTGATATAAGAGGTTTTGTCTGTAAATAATCAGTTTAGAGTCCAAATGATTTTAATAAAGAGAATTCTTACACAATAATTCAATAAATTTTAATATACAGCCCCAGTGTCATGCTTGTGTTGCCCCATGCTGCAGCTGTTGATGGTCTGTTCACGTCTTCTGCTCTCCAGTGTCGGCTCCTTGGAGGCACCAGGGCCGTGGACGTGTGCCCGGAGCGCGGGGTTTTCCCTCTCCCAGCCCCTCCGGCGGCTCCACGATGGCCACTGCCTTTGCCTTGCGGCAACCGTGTGCGATGGCTCCTCCGCGTTCCGGGGTCTTCCCGTGTGCAGGTCCGTGACACTTCTGCTCTTTCCACAGCTCAGTGACAGCCCCAGCTGCTTTCTTTGGCGCTGGCTGAGTCTCCAGCCCCGAGGGCCTTCTCTGAGGAGCCTGCGGGAGTCCCCAGGAGCTTCTGGGGCTGCTGGGGCGCGTTGCAGCGCTGGCTGCGCGTGCAGGGGGCAGGAGCTGGGGCTGCTCGTGCTGTGGTTCGTGTTAGCCGCTGCTGTCTGCCGCAGTAACGAGCTGCTCTTCCTAATGCAGCTTGACAACTTAATTCCTAAACCAAAGACCTCTGCTCGGCTACCTCCGGGTTTCTTTTCTTCTCTCCCCTCACCACCCTAACCTCCTGCCTGTTCCTAATTTGAGACTTTGGGGCTGTAGCACTGAGTCCTGCCCCTGCCACCCTTGGCTTTCCCCAGCAGCAGGGTCAGGGGTCTCAGCTGCCTCCAGGCTCTTGGAGACAGCCAAAAACTATTTCCCTCCTTACTTTGCTAGCAGGTCCTGGAGACCGTCTGCTCCTCCGCTTGCACGACCTGCCAGGGGCATCGACGCGGGCGCCAGCCGGCCCTGCCCGCTCGTCCCACCGCAGCCGCTGGTATTTTTAGTGCCGGGGCAGGCAGGTGAGCGGACGGGGCACAGGGAAGGAGAGAGGCGCCCCGCACAGCACGGATTCCCTTTTGGCAGCAGGTTAACCCTTCCCTTCAGGGGCAGCCATCAGTCTCTGCGGCAGAAACCTGAGCCGCGCAGCACGAGGGCCCCAGCGAGGGGGACGGTGCAGGACGCACCGGGGCTGTGCGAGGCGGCAGCAGCAGCAGGGCGAAAGCGTGAAGTGATTTTGGTGCGCGCGGCCGTTCGCATCACAGCAGGGCCGGGGACGTGGCGCCTGGTCCCTGGCCTGGCCAAAGCCCCACCGTGTGTGTGGAAAACTGGGCCCTGCCTTGCTAGCCCAGGAGGGGCTGAGCGGGAAGCAGATGCAGGGAGATGTCGCTGTCCTGCAGGCCCTGGCACCTCCTTTACCTCAGCGAGCGGCGGCAGCAGCTTCAAGGCCGCGTCCTCGAGCAGCCGCCCGGCGCATTGGGCCGGCCCCAGGAGAAGGGGGCAGTGGGAAGGGGGGTTCGCGGCGGCAGCACCATGCGGTGTTGGGCAGCGTGCGGGGAGCTGCTGGGGAGGCCCAAGCGCCTCGGCACGGTGAGCGTGGCCTGGGGGAGCCCGTCCGTGCTGCCAGGCGCTCATGGGGACCGCTGGGCTGGGCAGGGGCAGGAGAGGGTGTCCCGGGAGCGATCCTGCCCGGAGCCCTGCCAAGGGCTGCGGGAGCTGCCAGGCCGCCCCACGGTTCCTGGTTCCAGGGACGCTGCAGCGGCAGGGAAGGATCTTTCTGCTTCCATCCTAGCAGAGCTCTGAATTTCCCTCTATAAATAGTTGCTGTGGAGACTGCGGAGGTCGCAGCAGCCTGACAGACCTGCGAGGGGAGTGGAGGGGAGGCAGGGAGCTGCTCAGACAGGTGCAGAGAGAGCCTGGCAGGAAAACGAATCCACTGCAGCTGTCCTGGGTCTCCCAGCTCTCCCGAAGCCAAGGTTGTTCCAGTGCTGTGATCCGATACCCCGTGCCGTTCCCCACGGCGTCTATCCAGCGATGCAGGAGACTCCGGTCTACTCAAGGACACCCCTCCTAGGCAGCGCAGACCGAAAGCAGAGCGGGACCAGCTGGACTTTGCTTCCTGGAGCTCCAGCATGAGCTGGGTCGCAGGCGGCGCCGCGTGCTCGGCTGCCGCGAGCTGCTGCACGGTAGGTCTGCAAAGGGCGGCCGGGGTTGGTTTGGAGGGGCACGTTGCAGCTTGCAGGGATGCTGCGTTCAGCGAGCGCTCCCCAGGCCGTGGCTTGCAGGGCTCTGCTGACGCACGGGCTCACGGCACGTGGAGCTCTGGTGAGCCCTGCAGCTCCCCACGCCCGGGAGGGTGGGCTGAAAGGGAAGGTGCAGGCAGTGCAAGCAGGGCTGGTAGCGGGGGAGCCCCTCGGGCCCTCTGGGCACGGGGCAGACCAGGTCCTTCATGCCATCCCACAGAGTGACGCACTGCTCCCTACCTGTAGCTCTTGTGCATGAGGCAGCACCAGTGTGTTCCCAGGCTGGATGAGGCTTCTGACCTGGTCTGCACCTGCAGCAAACCAGCAGGTCCTGCATGATGTAGCTTTTATTAAAAAAAAAAAAAAAGACATAAAGTGATGAAGTCTTTAAAAACATTATTAATTGTCTTTCATTACAAAGCTTGGAAAAATGTGCTTGGCTCTTCTACAGCAAGTTGCATAGCAACACTCCTTGCTTATCCCGGTGTGTCATGTAACTACGGTGGGCTCTTCACCTCCGTGGAGTCCCACGTGTTTGAGGAAGGGCCTGACTGGCTCTCAGCTGCGAGAGGGGATGTGGGAACCACAGGGAGTTCAAAAGCTCAATCAGCCTGAGTTAGAAAGTGTTTTATGCTAAATGAGCCTGACCTAAACACTGCGTCATAATAGTACTGTTTTCCTGCCAAAAATTCCAATTTTCTCAAAAAATCTGTCTAAGAAAGAAGTTGTTCAACTGCCATTCAGATACTTTCTTAGACTTCCCTTTGGTAGATGAATGGTGAGTGATGTTAGAAATGAGATCTCTAACGTTGTTGTTCAGATCTCAGACCAGCCCTCACGGTTCTCCCTAACAACATGCCCAAATCTGTGAAGCTGGGAGCGAACAGGTCTTGGCATATTGTGGTGGTGCAGCGGCTCGCAGGGGTGTTGATATGCGGAGACTGCTCACGAACAAGGGGAATTCTGCTGATTTCACCCAAGTGTCATAGACAGGGCAAATGCCAAAGAGACTGGCCATAAAGAGCGGCAGCAGCCCAGAAATTTATGCCTAAATGATGCAAGTTCTGAACACTCGTAAGTGCCATGACTAGAGGACAAGGAGAATTCAAGCAGGGAGAGGCACTTGGAGCTCCTTTCACACCGTACAAGCCGGGGTAAATGGAGCAATGCCAGCTCCAGCACTCCTGGCATCCCCGGCAGAAACAGAGTCTCAAGCACAACCTGGCCCTTAAGTAGCCCCAAAGACAGACCACATCTCAGTCGCTGTACTGAGAAAGGCGTAGCAGGATATGCAAAGAATTCCCAGTCTTAGGAGGAAGTTTTGTGTCGGAAGAGGGAGTGCGCCCTGGCAGGCACTGCTGCCCCAAAACAACTCCCCTTCGAGCTGCTCCCACCGCCGGCAGCAACGCGCCCCGTGCAGACAAGCCGCTCGCTTTAGTGCGCTGATTCTGAAAGATTTAAAGGTCAATATTTCCACCCGTGCTAATGGTCTACTCAATTATCACGTGTCATAAGCCCTAGCAAGGCACGTTAATCTGAAGGGCAGGCCATGAAGCAAGTGACATTTCCACATTATGAAATGCTGGGCTGGGAGTCCCCAAGCTGTGGCCGCTTGCATCAGTATTTCCATCAGCAACGCGGGCTCCGGGGGTGTTGTTTCAGGTGACCCCCCTGCTTCAGCCACTTCTACACAGGCGCTGGCAGGGGGTAGCAGTTGCATCAGTCCGTCTAAGCTGACTCTGTTTGTACCTTTTTGCTGCCATAGTAACAAACACGGGATAACGTCCCCTGGCCTCAGCCTCTTCGTAGGGGGTCACAGGCTGTTGGTCACCCGCGCTGGCCCCGGGGAGGCTGCAGAGATTTGCAGCGCTGCCGCTTCTGAGGCAGGGACTCTGTTTAATGCCAGTGGGAGGTTCCTGCTGGCAGCGAGCACGCGGAGCTCGCTCATCCCAGCTGGGCAGGAGTCGGGGAGCAGAGCGCTCCAGGCCCTGCTAAGCCCTGAAAATCCACACAAGGCACTAGGAAACCTGAGAGTCCTGCTGGGCTGGCCCAGCCGCACGCAGCCAGGAGCCCTGCTCGAGCCCAGCCTGCCAGCTTTCCTCTTCTGAACTCCTAAAATAATCTCTAACCTCTCCAAAGTGCCAGGAGTGTTTGCAGCAGCACTGCTCCAGGTTTTGGCAAAGCAGATGGAAAGGAACGGGGCGGAGGGGAGGAGCGATGCATACCAACGCGCGTGCCCTGTAGTAGGAATTAAGGGCTGCTCTGCAGCTACCTACCTCTGTTTAAAGGAGTGAAATGCTGAAGACTGCACCGCCTGCACACCAAGCCCTGGTTCCCCTCTGCCAGCTTTCTCCTGGACCAGGATCTGCTGCAATGATGGAAGAGCAGGAGCGGGTGCAGGAGGAGGTGCCCGCAGCGAAGCGCACAGGTCAGTTCTCCAATGTGCGACTCCAGAGCCAAGATTGTGCCAGGCTCTTCCCAGACCACAGGAGGCCACTGGTGACCTGTCTGGCCATTCCTCTGGGATACCCAGCCGCTGCGGGGACAACTCTCATGAGTTGCTCCTTGAGTCTCATGGCATTTAAAGACGTGCTAGTAACGTGTCCTTCTGGCCATGTCCCCACAGGAGGGCACCACCCAGCACAAGAAGGAGAGGTGTTCAACATGAGATACCAGGCTCTGCACAAGCTGGGCTGCGGGGCCTTTGCCACGGTTTGGCTGTGCCACGACATGAGGTGAGGGGCTGAGCACGTTTTGGGGGCTGCAGGAAGGGGGTGCTGCCCTCCTCGTGGGCAGGCAGCCGAGCACAGCAGCCTGCTCAGGGCAGCATCAGCTCCGAGCGCTTCAGTGCATGGGAGCTCCCAAGGAGGACTGCAGTAACCGGAGTGGGGGCAAATGGGCAGCACGATCAGTGGGTGGCAGATAGCACAGTTGCTCCCCAGAAACTGGAGAACATAAATTAGGTGTGATCAGCTCCTGCTGCACCTTTGCTCTTGCTCAGAAGAGGTCAGACCCTGCAGTATCCATGCTCTGCCTCTTACCCTCTGGTCTTTCTTTGCTCCCTGGCTCCGCTACGCTGCAAGATGCCAGCAGCATCACCAGGAGAGATACACGTGGTCCGTCGTGGCTCAGGTGAAAGCAAGGCTGCTCACAGCAGGGTAGAGCCCGGGGCAGGGTGTCTGGGAGAAGAGAGGTGTTGCTGCTTGGCGCTGCACTGGCGTGCACTGGCATGCAGCTCTGATTCATCTCATAGGAGGAAGAAACACGTAGCTGTGAAGGTCCCCAGGAGCGGGCAAAGCTTCGCTGAGGCTGCCCAGGACGAGGTCGCGCTCCTTCGATGTGTATGTATGTTCTTTCACCATGGGAATGGCCCCTGAGTTCAAATCTGGGTAGCAGCTTCACCATCCTTCTCCTTCCAGGTGTCAGACTGAGGTGGAGAACAGCAACAACAACAAAACATGAATTTTTCAATATAAATTTCCTTCATTCAGCACCGGCCTCTGAAATGGCCAACTTCTCCTTCCTGTTGCGCTGGCATGGTTGGTTATGCATTGCTTGGCCCATTCCTTTCAGCTGAGAAAGGAATGCTGGCATGGTTGGTTGTGCATTGCTTGGCCCATAGGCCCATTCCTTTCAGCTGAGAAAGGAATCCAGTAAGCAGGAGGAAAATGCAGTGAGCAGGAGGAACCTGCAGGAATACAGGCTGGTTACTCAACAGGGAAAAACCAGGAGGTCAAGTCCAGGGAGCTGGGAATGTTTCCACTGTCTCTGTGTAGTTCCCAGATCAGATGGTTATTCCTGTCACAACAGGTAGTGAAGTAAATGGAGACAACTGAAAAAAGAAAAAAAAAATGTAGGATGTAGCAAAATATAATAAACATCTAAACTCAGGAAAGTTCCTTCTGCCTTTGCCAATGGCTCTGGCATGTACCTGGGTTTCAGCTACTTGCCTTTGAAGGTAGCTTGACCTGCTAGTTCTAGAAAGCTCACGGTTACAATTCTTAAAGTTTGCCTAAATAAGAAGTTACATCAGCTTTATATGAAAAAAGTAATTAAATTTTGCATTACAAATTACTGAGAGGCCTTTTTCTGACAGGTATAGGAAAGGTGCAGTTTGCACCTGCAAATCTGCAGGCCATGTCCAAAGGGATATGGGGCAGTGATGCAAGAATATGTACCAAGTGGCACTAATTTAATGCAATCAAAGGGGTGCTTTTCTGCACATCAGCATAATAAGGGGCAGAGACCAAGCCTTGCCCTTGATTCATTATGATTCTCTCTGAAATTTAATCATTTTTTCTCTGAAAGACACTCCTCCTACTCGACAGAACACAGCTGCTTCCCAGGGCCATTTCCATCAGTACAAAAGTACTCCCTGCGGTAGCAGCATCAGAGTCCTGTGGGAGCAAACGCACAGTGTAACCCACGGCACAGACGTGCAGCGCTGATGCACGATGTCCTGGTACATCTCTAACGGCAGCTTTCTTGGCATCCTCCCTCCAGGTGGGCAGTATGAAGAAGAAGGACCGGGCAGGAGAAAACATCATCTGTTTATTAGACGACTTCAGAATGATGGGAGAGAACGGCTTCCATATCCTTCTGCTCAGTTTGGGGTGGGCACGGCCTTGGTGAGCTCCCACGATGGTGTAAAGCCAAAAGTTGTGGTCTCATGAGGAAGAGCCGAGCAGCAGCTGGACCTGGGCACGTGGAAGTGGGTGGTGGGGGCAGGTGGAATAAGGAGGTATTTGGCCACGCTGGTGAAGGGCAAAAGGGTAGAGGTGGCATCTTCTCCCTGTTAGTGGATCCATGACTCTTTCCCACATATGTTCTTGGTATTCGAAGCACTGGGTCCTTCTCTGAGAAGTCTGATGGGTAACTATGCAGCCCAGGGCCTTCCTTTGCCTTTTGTGAAGAAATCTTTACAACAGGTGAGAACTTGGCTCGTAAGCAGGTGACGGCACCGAGGGACTGGTTGGGCAGGGGTCACACTGCTGTGTTCAGCGCGGGGCCACCTGCCATGAGCTCCCGTGTGATTCCGTTTGCAGAAGGGGGCACGATGCTGAGTCAGCTCCCAAGGCATGCAGCTTGTAAGGAAAATTCTTTGGGGTATACAGAGAGAAAATGTTTAAGAAAAGAAATAAAACACAGAGTGGGAACTCAACATGTTCCCATTAACACAGGCGCACTGTTCATCACTGGCTACGCCTGTAGCCTGCTCGGGTTTGGAAAGGAGTCAGGACCACCAACGTGAAGGGCCGGTAGCTGCAGCCCTGCACTGGGCGTTCAGAGACAGCAGTTCTGTTCATGTCTCAGTAATCACTGCATTTTTCTTGGGATCAGTTCTGCCACGCTGCAGAAGCAGGGGGACAAACAGCCTTCCATAGCTATGTTTCTCGTTGGCAAAGCATAGGCACCTCTGCCCTTCCTGCAGCGACGCCGGACTGCTGGAATTTGTCTCCGCATCCAGTCGTGAGCGGCACTGACATAGGTAGGGCCCTATAGCTCCCCTATAGCTTTCCACACAGCATTAGTGAAGGCTGCTAGAGGTCTGTCTCATGGATGATTTCGTTCCAGAGCTTTGTAAATAGCTGGTTCAGTTGGCTGGTCCTCCACCCATGTTGAGGTTTTCCTGCTCGGAGCCAACCCTTCCTCCAGCCCCTGGAAGGATGTGGCACGCTGATCAAACAGATCACAGAAACCCAGTTTCTTGTGCGTTGTCCATGAACAGCTAAGGAATGGGAAACCTCAGTAAGGCCTCGGAGTAGTTAAAATTATATTTTGCCTCTAATGCTGAGATTTATTAGAAGTCTGCTGCCTTGTTAAGACCAAGATTTGCTCCTTCGATTCCTCTGCTCTTCTACAGGCACTAAGAATGAGCTCACTCATCTGCTTAAACTGTAAAATCTCAAAACCTTTTGCTTTTTCCCTTCAGATCAGCACTGGGGCAGTATTTACTTCTGATTCGTTCCATTTTAGCTATTTAAATCTTTCCTTGTGTCTCACAGTTACCATTTAAGGTTGGTATTTCCCTGGGGCTGGTATTCATCCCAGAATAGATTTTGATAATGCACAGAAAATTTGCCAGCACTCTATGACTGACCAGAGCGTAAAAAAAAAAATCTTCTCCCAGTAGTCTTTTTGCTATTATTGATTTCCAAGAGTGAATATTTCTCTCTCATCTGCACTGTTTATCTCTCCCCCGTGACAAGCCCAGGTCTCCCTGCTCCATCGGGAGCTTTCCTTTCCCTA